GACTTAGCTGAGCATAATTTGGGGTGTTTGAACTTAGTGGCACATGAAATATACAAAATGCCCAGCAAAAATGCAATCCGTATGTAAAAAAATGCACAAAATTATTTTTTACCACATACTTTGGCATATATTGGTGAAAAAAAATGGGGGCATGTTAAGGCACAATATGCACCTTATGAGATACCCTGGAGTGTCTACTTTTACAAATGGTAGGCCTTTGTGGGGGTTTTTTGAACAGTCAAACTGTTATAATACCCCAAATGGAAGCCAAGGCTCATTAAATCCATCTCTCAAAATTCTACTGTGAATACTGTAAAAGGACAGGTCTCCCTATGACACACTGTAGCTTCACGAAATAGTGCCAAAGACATTCATATGGGGTGTCATTTTACTCAGAAGACTTAGCTGAGCATAATTTGGGGAGTTTGAACTTAGTGGCACATATGAAATATACAAAACGCCCAGCAAAAATGCAATCCGTATGTAAAAAATGCACAAAATTATTTTTTACCACATACTTTGGCATATATTGGTGAAAAAATGGGGGCATGTTAAGGCACAATATACACCTTATAAGATACCCTGGAGTGTCTACTTTTACAAATGGTAGGCCTTTGGCAAGTTTTGAACAGTCAGAAAACTGTTACATAAATACCCAAAATGGAAGGCTAAGAAAGGCTGCGTTAATTCATCTCTGCACCTCAAAAATTCTACTGTGAATACTGAAAGGACAGGTATCATAGCCTTGGCACTGTAACTTCACGAAATAGTGCAAAAGACATACAATGGGGGTGTCATTTTACTCAGCAGATGTAACTGAACACAAAATAAAACTGTGTACAGGAATAGCACACACCAACTTTACAAAATATACACGAGAATTTCTCTGTTATAAGTTTGTGTGCCAAAAACCAAAAAGAACACAATTTTACTCCAATATTTAGCAGAGGTTGGCGGTGAAATGGCTACGTAGAAAGTGTCAAAACAACCTTAGGTAAATAGCCCATGATGTCTACTTTATATAAATATATACTTTTGTATGGCAATTTTGTTTTCTTTTATGGCTATTAAGCTTACAAGACAAACATACCAAATTCTAAAATCGCTCCACATTAAAAGTTTATTTTACTCCTTGTGCTTTGTGACCTTTAACTACCAAAAAAAACTTAAAATCCCAGACACATTATATATTCTGTAAATCAGAACAAATAAATAAATTTATTTTTAATTACTTTCCTTAACCTGCACTAATTATGCACACATTATTATTGCAAAAACTGTAAAAAAAAAAATATTTTTCATTTTTTTTGCATTTTTCTGTATTTTTTTTATAATAAGTAAGCATTTTATATATATATATATATATATATATATATATATATATATATATATATATATATATATATATATATGTTATATCAAATTAAAGCCCTTTCTGTCCTTTAAAAAACAGTATATAATATGTGTCGGTGCAATAAATGAGAGAGATGCAAATTGCAGTTGAACGCAAACAGCAAGAAAATGCAAAAATTGCTTGTCATTAAGCGTAAGTCAAGCTTCTGAAGCTGTCCTTAAGGGGTTAAGGGGTTAAGGACTGAGCCAAATGTACACGTTGTGATCAAAACAAAACGTAAACAAAAACTTGGAATTTGCGCTATATGTCTGTCCAACCATAATTCACCTCTTTCATATTATGTGCACCCACACCTATTATATATCATTTTATTCAGGTGAAACAGGGCTTTCCTTTAACATCAAATATTTAGCTATGAAACATTTTAATATGAATAAAATATGAAAAAAATGGGAGAAATTTTTTTTTTTTTTAAGTTCTGCATTGCATTTACCTGTGAAGGTCATAATACTATTAGCTTTTACTGCAATGAAATACACATATTTGTATTTAGCGATGTCTCACGTGTAAAACAGTACCCCCTATGTACAGGGTTTATGGTGTTTTGGGAAGTTACAGGGTCAAATATAGCATGTTACATTATTTAATTTTTTTCACATTGAAATTCGCCAGATTGGTTACGTTGTCTTTGAGACCGTATGGTAGCCCAGGACCGAGAATTACCCCCATGATGGCATACCATTTGCAATAGCACACAACCCAAGTTATTGAAAATGGGGTATATCCAGTCTTTTTTAGTAGCCACATGGTCACAAACACTTGCCAAATTTAGCGTTAATATGTTTGTGTGTGAAAAATGCAAAAAACTAATTTGAACGCCAATTTTGGCCAGTGTTTGTGACTAAGTGGCTTCTAAAAAAGGCTGGACATACCCCATTTGCAATACCTTGGGTTGTCTACTATTGCAAATGGTATGCCATCATGGGGGTAATTCTCATTCCTGGGCTACCAGACGATCCAAAAGGCAACGTGACCAATCTGGCGAATTTCAATGTGTTTCAAATAATAGTGTTTCAAAACAGTAAAAGGTATCACAACAAATTATATCGTCAGTGTAAGTGCCATGTGTGTGTGAAAAATGCAAAAAATGTCACTTTCACTGACGATATCATTGTTGTAATACATTTTACTGTTTTGAAACACTAATATTTGTGTTCAGCGAAGTCTCCCGAGTAAAACAGTACCCCCCATGTACAGGTTTTATGGTGTCTTGGAAAGTTATAGGGTTAAATATAGTGCTATATAGACAAAACCAAAAATGTTTGGGATATGGCTGTGAAATCTAAAAATAAGGAACAAAACAAATATATAGTGTAATACAGTTTGGTAAGCAATTATGCGCTCAGTGAAATGTCAAAATTGACTCATAACAACACTGATTGGTTACTTTCCCAGGCTGTGTGAAATTACTCAGAGCACTCTGATTGGTTGGATTTCAAGCTGTGACAGGTAAATGTAGAGACTTGCGTTCTGTTTTTTGGGGGTTTTTTTTCAAAGTGCGACGGGTATTATGGACTTTTATTTGGCCTTTTTTAGGGCTGAAAGAAGAAGATTTTAGAAAAAAAGAAGACCTCAAATGGTAATTTTTATTTAGTTTTTACAGGTATTTAGTTCTCTTGTTCCCCCCTCACTATTTTTAGGTATGTAGGGGTTTATTAATTTTTTTTTGGGTGGGATGACTAGGGGCTTGGGGACGCCTGGTCACCTGAGGGGGAAGTTAATATTTTCATTTAGGGCCCGGGGGAGGACAATAGGTTCCCCTATTTTCATTTAGGGCCCCCACTCGCCGCTCAGGGGTGGGGGAGGGGGCAATAGGTCCCCCCTTCAGTTTAATAGCCCCCACTCGCACGGCACGAGTGGAGGCTCGGGAGGGGGAATACTAGAGGGGTTTTTTTGTAACAGTTCTACAGTTCTGCTCATAATAGATATGTCCCTACTCACTGTATAGCGAGTAGGGGCTGAATTTACTGATAATAAGTAATCTTTACTTAGTATTAGTAAATTTGGCTGAAAGACCAATTTAGGTCTTTCAGCCTTTTGGTAGATAGCTCCCTAATACCGTGGGAATTAGGGAGTTATCTACTAAGCGGCTGCAAGATGCAGCCGCAGCACGAATCGTATCGGAGTTTCATTCATTCTATTGAAATTCTGATACAAACAAAGTCCCGAATTGCGTCCTAACACGAATGGAGAAACTGTTCTCATGCTGTTAGTACGCAATTCGGTAGTTTTGCAGGCGTTCTGTCTAAAATAACAGGACGCTCGGGAAATGTGAAAGGAAGCATCGCGGGAACAGGGCGGATAGCTAAGGCTTATGGGAAAATTTCTCTGACCACCGGAAATGAAGCACACTTTGCTCCTCCGCTGGTCAGAGATGGTCAGGCATAGGAAACCTCCATAAGAGAAATAGTCCCTACTTTGTCTTATGTTTTAATGAAAACTAGAGCAGACAGGAAGAAATTAATAGATCCTGTCAGAGGGACAGAAGAGGAATGGATTTTGGGAAAGGTAAGTTTGGCATGACAGGGCTGTTTTAACATGTAGTGGGATATGCTATGTATAGTTTTTTTGCACTACTTGCCTGTGTGGTGACATTCTGTCATCAAACTAATATGGTGACCAGGGATCATGTGACCAAGCTCTTACAGTGGGATAAACTTTACCTTTTGATATGGTAATTGAGTAATTCAATACCTTTCAGGAAAGAGGTAACCACTTCCCCCTTTCTCCATTCCTCTCTGTTCCTTCTTGGTTGTGCTACTGAGCAGTCCTTTAAGCAGACATGGCCTAATTTCTATCATGGTGAACTGTGAGTGGGATTTTATAAGATGTAGTTGTTATTGTTAGTTAGGTTGTTGTTGCTGTTGGTGGTGGTATAGTTAGTTAGATTGTGTGTCATTATTTGTATGTTGTTGTTGTTTTGTCTCTGAATAAAAATATTTGTTAAAGTAGACGGACCAGAGTTTATATGTGTACATAATAATTTATAGAGTTTGGTAATTTACCACAGCCTGAATACAATAAAAAATATTAACATTAAAAAAAATCCTCTTCCTTCTTTAAAATAGATATTTTCCTGCAATATCCCTTGTGACGTGCTTCCAATAGTGCCCCTCGATCATTGCAGACCCTCTTTATATATTGCATGTAGTATAATTTGTTGAATATAATCATGGTATCATGGACAATACACCTGTATGTCTCTGTGTTTTATCTGCACACACATCGCGTGATGCCAATACCCATTTATACATGGCTTAATTAATATACATCACGTTAGCCGAACACGCAGCTCGCAGGAACACAGGTTATAAAATGCTAAGCTTTCACATTGTTTTCTCTCTTTTGCATTTCTGGAATCCTTTGGCCACCATTGTTATCATAACACGTAGCTCTATTTCTTTAGACTGTAAGCAATTTGAGCAAGACCCTCACCAGCCGTTGTTCCTGTAAGTTAAACCTATCGTGTTGAATTTAGTTCTGTGTGTGCTCCACGTTCAGTGCTGCCATGTTCTAAAACATAATAATATACAGTCACAGGAAAAAGAAAGTACACCCTCTTTGAATTATATTGTTTTCTTTATCAGGACATAATAACCATCAACTGTTCCTTAGCAAGTCTTAAAATTAAGTAAATACAAGCTCAGATGAACACCACGCAACATATTACACAGTGTCATGATTTTTTTAACAAAAATAAAGCCAAAATGGAGAAACCGTGTGAAAAACTAAGTACACCCTTACTGCTTCCACAGTAAGTAAGAGGCTAAGCAGCAGACAGGTGCTGCTAATCAAATACCTTTAATTAATTGATCATCAGCCAGTGTAACCACCTCTATAGAAGCTGAAGGTTTAGCAGTTTGCTGGTCTGGAGCAATGCCACGGAGAAAAGACATCAGGAATGATCTCAGTTTCACAAGATCAGGGCTAGCGGTCGGTCTAGTTCGGTAGTTTAAAACCGAATAAACATAGTCAATATTCTTACCTTGGAGCTTGTTTCCCTTGTTCGTGGAAATGTTTCCACCGAACCGTGTCTTTCTAAGTGTTGTAGAACCAAACGCAGGTGATGCTGGAAGTCCAGCGGTGTTCGGGAGTTTGTGTCCTATTTCAGTTCCATGAAATTGACGACCAAGCACCGCTGCCTGCGTTCGTGCAAACATGATGGCCGTCACCTTGTGGTCGTCCATAGGAATTGCGGCCACCCAGACGAACACTTAGAACACTGCAGTGGAAATTGCTTCAAAGTAGCTATTAGGCTTAACAAGCTCCAAGGCGGTCTCCGGTTCGTGCGGCTGTTTGGTTCCCGAACCATATAGTTCAAATACACGAAAAAAGACTTTTACATGGCCCATAGTCTGTGGGCAGGAGGCTGGCAAGCAGGCTCCTCCAGGAGCTCGTGGCAAAGTCACATGAAAAGGGGAGTTTATCACAGGTGATGACTTGGGCTTGTTTTGCAGGCACAGGACCTGGGAACCTTGCAGTCAGTAAGTCGACCATGAACTCCTCTGTGTACCAAAGACTTCTAGAGTCAAATATGAGGCCATCTGTCTGACAGCTCAAGCTTGGCCGAAATTGGGTCATGTAACAGGTAATGATCCCAAGTACAGCAGCAAATCTGCAACAGAATAGCTGAAAATGAAAAGAATCAAGGTGTTGCAAAGGCCCAGTCAAAGTCCAGACCTCAACCTCAATGAACTGAAGCAACGTTGTAAAGAAGAGTGAGCCAAAATTCCTCCACAACGAGGTGAGAGATGGATAAAGTCATACAGAAATATTACTGCAAGCTATTGCTGCTAAAGGTGGTTCTCCAAGCTTTTACATCCCAAGCAGTAGTTAGACGTTCCCACATGGCTTCTCCTTTTTGGCTTTATTTTTGTTAAATCATGACATATTGTAATATCATCTGTCGTTGTTTATCTCATGTTGTATTTATCCAGTTTTAAGAGCTTCTAAGGAACACATGGTTGTTATTAAGTCCTGATATATAAAACCACAGAATTCAGAGGGCGTCCTTTCTTTTCCCATGATTGTAAAGTGTTTGTTTGTATATTGAGCGCATGGGGTGCTACTATCACTGGTAGAAGTCAGTCTGAGATTCCGGGTGCATTCAGTCTATACACAGACATTACACATGCTTTCTTTCACTCCCACCTCTTGTGGAACAGTTGCAGCTGCAGCCCCCACATGTATTGCGTCATACAGCCCACCTTCAGGGTACCCCAGTCTGCCGTCCCCCACTGTAAAACAGAGGGCAAGATATCACAACATAGTCGCCATTGTTCAGGTAAACTGCGCTCAGAAATCTTCCTCACCAACAAACTTGATTCGTCCAGAGCTGAGCAATTCTGCGTCATCCTGCTGAACGTTCTGAATGGCAGTATTGATGAGGTGATCAATATGATCAACACCAATAACCTTTCCAGTGGATCCCACCTGCAGAGAGAAGAATAGAATATCTGTACAGACAGATCAGTGAGATTCCATCCAGATAAACCTCCGCACATCGCACATGGCACTCACCATCCTGGCAAAGCAAGCCGTGAGGTATCCACTGCCAGAGCCTACATCCAGCGCCCTGGCACCTTCAATCAGCTTCTCCTCCAGCAATTCCAGGGCGTGCGCATGCTGACAGACAGTGACAAGGAAATCCAGGGTTTATCATATTAAGTATTAAATAAAATAAGTGGTCAGTGCGAGGTCACTGCCTATTATTTTTTTTTTTTCAATTTGACAATTTTTATTGTTGATAAGAACAGGGGAGGGGGGGTACAGAAGAGAAGAAGGAGGGGGGGGGGGTTTCCGTGTTACAGTATATGTCACTCGGTACAAGGCGACATAGCGTAGTAGCATAGTAGCTTGGTAAAACAGTAATGGTTTGGACAGTGGTATTAATAATATTGTTGTTAAGAAAAATAAGCCGCACAAAATTGCTTAGTGTAATTCTAGTCCATGCGCCTACCCATGGGCTTGGGTGATCTGTGTAGTTTGGAGTATACTTCCCCATGCGTAACCTAATCCGATGCTCTTTCGCTTTGCGAACACAGTGGGTCAATACAATGCATACATATTGCTATGGTACAGGAATGAGTCGCCTTACTCAGGGTTTGCCAATCTCCACGCGTCCCACACATCCCATGCTGTCGTCCCTGTACGGGTGGGTGGGCATATATTCGTGAAGCAACGCTCATAGTGCCTCTGCTCAGCTATTTCTGAGAGTACGTTTTGTATCTTAGGAGTGGTTGGAGATTTCCAGGCCCGCGCTATAAGGCGTTGAGCCGTTAGTGTTGTGTGGAAAATTAGTTTTTGGAGGTACTTAGGAGTGTGGGGGGGAGTGTGCAGTAGCAGGTACGTGAGCGGGTCTAGGGGCAGTGTAAGTTTCGTGAGGTCTTGTAGGAAGGAGTGCACTTCTTCCCAAAAGGGTTTGATCAGTGAGCACGTCCACCAGATGTGTAAAACTGATCCGGTGTGCCTCCGACATCTCCAGCAGGTGGATGAAGCGGCGGGGTACATTTTAGAAAGCCGCTCCGGGACCATGTACCATCTGTAAATCATTTTTTTGTTCTGCTCCAATAACGGTGCTGATTTAAGGAGGGTTTTGGGTGCGGTAGATAAAGTGTTCCACTCTTTGTGAGTGAGCTCAATGGTCAGATCTTCTTCCCATTGTCTAGCTGGCGTGGCCTCTGAGAGAGGGGTGAAGTCTAATAGCAATTGGTAACACGTGGAGATTTCACTGCCTATTATTAATGGTCAGACGCTTAGAAACAAATTAATAGTTAAACACTGCGCTGCTCACAACAGAACGCTAATTAAATAAACAGCATCTTTGGCTTAGAAAACGAAAACAAGTCATTAAATATAAAGCCTACCATGTGGGGAGCACTGATTGTAGCCTTATAACCTAAAAGGGCAACAAAAACATACGTTAAATGTACATTTAGTGCGTAAGAAAGTTCTAGATTACAGCAAACTTGTTAATATAACATGACTTTCTCCAAAGATCTGGCCAGAGCAATGGTTTGAAATACTTTTTTAAGACAGGTTTAGGAAAGCTGCAACTCCCAAGAGGATTCGCCAACCATGCTGTTGCTTGTCAGGATTTTTCATTATCCCCTACATTTAACAAGTGTCTGAAAACTAAAATTAAATGTAGAAATTCACACTATTGTACTAAGCAAGCTCTACCCATCTCAGCTCCCTGTCAATCATTGTATCAGTATAGAGAGACAAAGAACAATGAGTGGTATTTATCAACGTGCTATGAAACGTGGCAGTTACATGTCATCATCATTTGATCATATTTATTAAAGTGATCTACAAAGTGACATTTTACTCAGACAGCAAATAAATATACTGGTGGAAAACATCTGCCACCTTGGGAAAACCTAGCACAAAATATTCAGAAATCTGCTGCATCTGAAAACAACCTGCATGTTCAAAAACAACTGTTAGGGTGCAAAACAAGCAACAGACGGGAAAATCAGATAGATTCAATGAATTGTGACAAAAATGAGACAGGAAAGTGTTGGTGAAAATTTGATAAACCTCATTAGCATTGTGTGCCCTGGCAATGCCTGGCCTGAACTGTTTCCAAAGAATTGACAGCTCCTCTGTAAGCAAGGCAAATGTTAAAAAATGTATAAACAGTTTGATAAATTTCTGGGGACTCGACACCAAACCCACTAGAGTTTATTGCAGTGGTTGTGTGCTTATAGTGTCCCCCATTTGATGGCACAGCATGTTATCTAGTGTGTAATATGGAGTTTGGGTATAAAGCTGTTTCTGTGCTGCTGGATATAACGTGCTGCGTGTTTCTTACCTATACCTTGCGGTGAGTCCACGTACAGTAAATGCTGGGTGTAATGAGCTGCGTGTTTCTTACCTAAACCTTGCGGTGAGTCCACGTACAGTAAATGCTGGGTGTAATGAGCTGCGTGTTTCTTACCTAAACCTTGCGGTGAGTCCACGTACAGTAAATGCTGGGTGTAATGAGCTGCGTGATTCTTACCTATACCTTGCGGTGAGTCCACGTACAGTAAATGCTGGGTGTAATGAGCTGCGTGATTCTTACCTATACCTTGCGGTGAGTCCACGTACAGTAAATGCTGGGTGTAATGAGCTGCGTGTTTCTTACCTATACCTTGCGGTGAGTCCACGTACAGTAAATGCTGGGTGTAATGAGCTGCGTGATTCTTACCTATACCTTGCGGTGAGTCCACGTACAGTAAATGCTGGGTGTAATGAGCTGCTTGATTCTTACCTATACCTTGCGGTGAGTCCACGTACAGTAAATGCTGGGTGTAATGAGCTGCGTGATTCTTACCTATACCCTGCGGTGAGTCCACGTACAGTAAATGCTGGGTGTAATGAGCTGCGTGTTTCTTACTATACCCTGCGGTGAGTCCGCATTACTGATGGAAATGCTGGATTGTAATGAGGCTGTGCGTCGTTTCTTACCTATACCTTTAGCGGTGGGTCCGCGTGCAGTAAATGCTGGGTGTATTGGGCTGCATTGATTCTTACCTATACTCTGCGGGGTGAGTCCGCGTGCAGTAGAGTACTTTGGGTTAATAATATTGGGCTGCGTGAGTTCTTACACTACTATACCCTGCGGTGGTCCGCGTGCAGTGAGTAGCACCGGGTGTGTGGGCTGCGTGTTTCTTTTTACTATACCCTGCGGTGAGTCCACGTACAGTAAGTACTGGGTGTAATGGGCTGCTGTTTTACCTATACCTTGCGGTGAGTCCACGTACAGTAAATGCTGGGTGTAATGAGCTGCGTGATTCTTACCTATACCTTGCGGTGAGTCCACGTACAGTAAATGCTGGGTGTAATGAGCTGCGTGTTTCTTACCTATACCCTGCGGTGAGTCCACGTACAGTAAATGCTGGGTGTAATGAGCTGCGTGATTCTTACCTATACTCTGCGGTGAGTCCATGTATGGGAAATGCTGGACATAACGCGCTCTGTCCGTGGCCATCATAACATCGTACACACGTTGGCGCCTGATCACTCCATTCTCTAGGAGAGAAAAATAGTTTTAAAAAAACAGTCAGCAGAGACTTGGGACATCAAGTAAACATTACTGGAAATTTTGAATTTCACCAAAACCATCTCATTCCTCAGACTGTGGGCTAGCTGTAATCTGAGTGTCTATAGTTATTAAACAAAGTGATAATTTATCAATAAACCCAAAGCTGAGCATTTCATCTCCCTGTAAGGGGAGCTGGCACATTGTGAAGAGCAATGAGATGGGTCGTTACCTGCTCCCGTTCTGTTTTATATCAGGGACCTCTAACATTATCTACACAAAATCAGTTAGATTTCAGATTACAGTAATTACGAGAGCCACAGTTTGCTGAATACAGAAGGAAAGGATTAAATAAAGGAATTTACTCACTGCGAAGATTGTTGACAAGATCTACATGCGTTTTTCCACTTGAAGTCCAAGCCATAGCTCTACTGAGAAGAAATCCAAATGGTAAGGTTATAGCAGCTAGCCGTCCCAGACAGATCATGTCCCCAGGCTGCTCTGTCAATCAGAAAACAACATACAGAGAGCAGAATCAGGTTACTGAACACACGGCAAACCGTCTTCATAAGGACTGCTCGAACCTCTGCCGAGACCATTAGATTGGTTCCTGTTCATTTCAACACTCACCTTGCACAGGAACAAACATTTTACCTGTTTGGGGTTTATTTTAGACAAAGTGAACCCTATTTAAATGCAAATTTACATATTTTAACATCCTCATCATGATACATGAACAGCACACACACTAGATAGGTAAATAACAGATACAGTATTACATTTTACAAGACTACTTAAAATCCCCTAACCCCAATCAAATACGGGGATTCAGTCCCACCAAATGGCCATATTGTATTAAACCCACCACTACTTCATAGTACCCCAATATCGGTGGGTCCTACACTAATAACGTCACTGTACCCCAATATCGGTGGGTCCTACACTAATTACGTCACAGTGGCCCAATATCCGTAAGTCCTACACTAATTACGTCACAGTACCCAAATATTGGTGGGTCCTTCACTAATAACGTCACAGTACCCCAATATCAGTGGGACCTACACTAATTATGTCACAGTACCCAAATGTCCATGGGTCCTACACTAATTGCATCACAGTACCCCAATATCGGTGGGTCCTACACCAATTACGTCACAGTACCCAAATATTGGTGGGTCCTTCACTCATAATGTCACAGTACCCAAAAATCGGTGGGTCCTTCACTAATAACGTCACAGTACCCCAATATCAGTGGGACCTACACTAATTATGTCACAGTACGCCAATATCGGTGGGTCCTACACTAATTATGTCACAGTACACCAATATCGGTGGGTCCTACACTAATTACGTCACAGTACGCCAATATCAGTGGGACCTACACTAATTATGTCACAGTACCCAAATATTGTTGGGTCCTTCACTAATAATGTCACTGTACCTCAATATCAGTGGGACCTACACTGATAACGTCACAGTACCCAAATATTGGTGGGTCCTTCACTAATAATGTCACAGTACCCCAATATCAGTGGGACCTACACCAATTACGTCACAGTACCCCAATATCGGTGCGTCCTACACTAAAAGTCACAGTGCCCCAATATCTGTAAGTCCTACACTAATAATGTCACAGTACCCCAATATCGGTGGGCCCTACACTAATTACGTCACAGTACCCCAATATCGGTGGGTTCTTGACTAATAACGTCGCAGTACCCCAATATCGGTGGGTCCTACACTAATAACGTCACAGTACCCCAATATCAGTGGGACCTACACACGCTGCAAAGTCTCGTGGTCACTACTCTATCCTAATTTTCCTTGACCGGTCTGCGGCTTTTGACACTGTTGATCATCAACAGCTTCTTCTCATCCTCCGCAATATCGGTCTACAAGATATTGTTCTCTCCTAGTGCTCCTCCTACCTCTCTCAGCGCTCTTTCAGTGTTTCTTTCTCTGGCTCTGCTTCTTCTCCCCAACTCCTCTCTGTTGGTGTCCCCCAAGGTTCAGTCCTTGGTCCCCTACTGTTCTCCATCTATACTGCCTCCCTTGGTAAACTCATTAGCTCCTCTGGCTTCCAATATCATTTATATGCAGATGACACACAAATCTGTCTGTCCTTTCCTGATCTCTCCCCATCCCTATTGACTAGTGTCTCTGACTGCCTCTCTGCTGTTTCTAACTGGATGGCTGCCCACTTCCTAAAACCAAAACTGAAATTCTGGTCTTTCCTCCCTCAAGTGTTGTTACTCCTGTGTCTGTCTCCTTCCAAGTCAACGGTGCTACCATCAGCTCCACCACGCAGGCTCGCTGCCTAGGTGTTCTCTTTGACTCCGACCTCTTCTTCAAGCCTCATGTTCAGTCTATCGCCAAATCCTGTCATTTCCATCTCAAAAGAATTGCGCGCATCCGCCCCTACTTAACGCCAGATGCGACTAAGGTATTGGTCCATTCGACTGTCCTTTCTCGCCTTGACTACTGTAATCCGCTTCTCAGTGGTCTTACGTGCTCCCAACTTGCGCTGTAACAGTCCATAATGAATGCGGCAGCGAGGCTCATCTTCCTGTCCGCCCGCACCTCCCATGCCTCACCCTTCTGTCAGTCCCTACATTGGCTTCCTATAAAATATAGAGCTCAATTTAAAATTCTGGTTCTTGCTTTCAAATCGTTACATAATGCTGCTCTCACCTATCTGTCCTCCCTTATACACAAGTATGTCCCGTCTAGGCCCTTACGATCTGCTGAAGACTTACGTCTATCTTCTGTCCGTACTCCCACCTCTGATGCTTGCCTTCAAGATTTCTCGAAGGTTGCACCGTACCTGTGGAACTCGCTTCCCTCCTCCGTTGGACGCTCACCCAGTCTCCACTCCTTCAAAAAAAGCATTAAAAACCCACTTCTTCATAAAAGTGTATCAATTAAACTGTTAATAGCTCCCGACTGATTCCTCTTCTGCAACTGTCACTAGTCTAATAATATCCTTACCTTTTTGTGTCATTTTACCCCACTCCCTCAACCCCTCTGTTCCTGTGTGTGCGCGCAACTTGTCTGGTTACAACTACATGTCTGTTCGTCCACCCATTGTAGAGCGCTGCGGAATTTGATGGCGCTATATAAATAACATAATAATAATTACGTCACAGTACCCCAATATCAGTGGGACCTACACTAATTGTCACAGTACGCCAATATCCGTGGGACCTACACTAATTACGTCACAGTACCCCAATATCGGTGGGTCCTACACCAATTACGTCACAGTACCCCAATATCTGTGGGTCCTACACTAATAACGTCAAAGTCCTACACTAATAACGTCACAGTACCCAAAATCGGTGGGTCTGACACTAATTATGTCACAGTACCCCAATACCTGTTTCCTACACTAATTTTTAAATGGGAGATTAACTTGCTAACTGTGATACTTACTAAAACTGCTTCCAGAGACTCACCTCAAATGTATCAAATGCTAGTGGTTATCAACTTCTTCAACCAAACCTGTAACAACCGCTAATGGTTATCATCCAATCAAACCAAACCTGTAACAACCGCTAATGGTTATCATCCAATCAAACCAAACCTGTAACAACCGCTAATGGTTATCATCCAATCAAACCAAACCTGTAACAACCGCTAATGGTTATCATCCAATCAAAGTGACCAGTGACAATGGTAAGTAATGGTTGTGCAGTTTGCTGGGAGGACCATAGAGACTAACTATAGAGACTAACTGTCTGACCCAAGGTGCTTTCCGTATATGGTTGACGGATTCTGTAAAATACTAAAGGTTGAGGATAGGAGTTGTTTTTTTTACATATATTTAATTTAGCACAGAATCTAATAATTTTCAAAACTTGATGAAAGGATTATTATATTAAAATAGTTTTGAGTTGACAGTTGTCCTTTAAAGGTTTTCCTTATATAAATCCATTTTAGCTTAGAATGTCTTCTGGAAGACACTACACATTTATACGAATGGTTCAATGACCAAGCCCTAGGGAGGCCAATTAAAATCTATGAGACACAATAAAATTATTCCGTAGTTTACAGCAATTGGAGGACCTATCTGGATTATCTCGCTCTAACAAACATCTGCTCTAGAAGGCTTTAAAGGATAATGTCTTTTATGTGAAATTATTCTGAGATGGCCCACGGGAAATCTGCCCACAAACAACCCAAAAACAGTCATACATTTAGTCTCTTAATGGACTATCTCAATTTGATAAACATCGTTTACCATGTTCACTAATTACTTTAACACCGTGCAACCTTTAAATAAACACAGCGACAAAAATGTCACCTGCCTTGGGCTCCATACATTTCATAATTAGAGTTATAACAATGTTCAGCAATAACAATACTGCCTATCCTGAGGATGCTTTTTAAACATTAGAAGTAGTAATTAGTCGATATTTCTCTGGTATAACAAACTCAGAGTTTTGCAATAAATTGCCCCCTATGTCTGCTTCTAACTCCGCAGGTATCTTCACTTGTATAGTTCTCATCTGTTAGACACCAGGGTGCTGGCAGATAGACAAAGGACATCCAATGGTTGGCATCTACTACCCACTAACAAACTATCGGTGCATGGCAGAGAAATATTCAGCCGCATCCCTTAGCCCAGCTAGCCAATTTCTGCATGTACAAGGACATCGAGATACTATAGTCACTTTGGTAGTCAATCATAGAGATTGGAAACCCTCATTGACTCGCAAGGCTTCAAGCAATGATCCAGAACATCCGAAGCTGCCTGATAGTGATAGGCATGTGATTGCATGGCTCCAATAGTGATCACATTCCTGAGACAGCCCACAACTATTGCTGGACTGCCTTACTCAAAAGGAATAAAGTAATCGCTTGATGCTGCCTTACGACTATGTTTGATTCATTGAGCTTACTAACGCACTTATTGAAAGCTCCCAAGGCCCACCTACTATTAATACCTCTCTGTCAGTGGCGCATATTCACATCACATTTATTGCAAGAAAAGAATCACAATTTAAATGCAAAT